ATTCTTGATCCTTTCCATCTGGCGCTCTACGTGAATGCGTGCATTTGCAATGCCTTTTGTTCTTTTAACACCCTGTTTAGAAAATTTCACTTGCTTTTTCTTAAATGGGGGTATAATCAAATTTATTCCTCTGGGGGTGGTCAAATCAGATATGGTGAAGCCCTTATCAGCCATAATAGAATCTCCTGGTTCACAGAGTTCAACTAACCCACTTTCTATGGTGAGTTGCTTGTCACTAATACTCCCACACCAAAGATCTGATACATAAGTGACAATGCCAGCTGGACTAATTCCTATTAAAGATTTCCAGGTCATATGTGATTTGTAGTCACTGTACATTAAAGATTTTAACTTTAATGATGAAGGTGTCTCCGTTCGAATCTCTGTAGCATCTATGATGACTCTTGTCGTCGGAAACTTATCTTTAAAAATTTCAGGCATATTGCTATCTATGACATCTCTGCTGGGCCACATGACAAGAACAGATAACTGATTATCTAGATAATCAATCCACCTATTGAAAATATCGCCACATGTTGTTGTTGATATACGAAATCTATATGCTAAGTCCTCTAACAGCAGACCCAATCTAATTCGCCTAAGGACCATAAAAAACTCATTTATACAACGTAAAATGCGGGGCCGATCACCGCATCCATAGTTTGATCCACTTCCCCTTATTGTTCTCTCCTCTGCATCAGATTTTATCTCGTCAAACAAAGCATCAAACGTGTTGCCATCTGGAATTCCTGTATAAAATAAAACTTTCTGTGCATCTGATTTGATGTCATCATAAGTTAATATGGAAGGGACACAGATAATTCCACTTACAGTCTGACACTCAACATCTTGAAAACAAGAAACTAAACAACCACCTTCTGTTTGAGTTCTAATTGATCTAGTACTTGATGGTGATGTTTGAATATACTGATTCCTGATAGTAGAATGGTTTTTAACATCTGGTTGTCCCAAATAATCATGGACTCGCAGGGATGTATCTAACATTGATCCAGAAGTAACAAACCCATGTTCACTGTTTGATGATGCCTCACTGTCAGAACTGATGCTAATATCTTGTTCATTGGCCGAAATAACTAAAACCTCGTTATCTTCATGGTTTTCATCTATTTTCTGAAAACAAGACGGTTCAAATAATTAAGGAATTGTTTTCCTTTTCCAGTTTTAAAATGATGCCACAGAAGTTCTATCTTTATTGGCGCGGTACAGGTATTAGATGCATGCAATTCAGAAACCATGCAAAGGGAAAGTGTCATGGCATCAGGTAATTAAAAAAAGAGTATGTTCCTGGCTAGAATCAGAATGGGTCTACCTACATCTACAGGGCATCATTGGCCATGGCTTGGCCAATTGCAATGCCAATCAAAGTGGTCCTAGTAGTAGGCCTAGTCATGGTAGTTAAAGACAGGAGGGACAAAGTCAAAATCTAGTAATCATAATTCAATCAAAGTCATATTAGTTTAGATCTAGGCCTACCAGTATAAATTAAACAAATTCACTTAAAAAGAAATTGGCAAAACGAGATTCAGAAATGACAAAGGCCAGAGAAAAAAACGAAAATCTTACCGAAGTTCTAGGTGTTATAGTTTTATGTTGGTGTGGACTATAAACACAACGTTCAGGAGGACAGCTTTACTCAGAATGAATATTATACAATAATGACATGCGCAATAGACCGTACAATAAGTTACGTCACGCGAGTGGTTATCACATGATACAACATCCCCCTGTTTTTGTAAGATAACATTAATATTCAAGGTTTGAATTGTTCAATATTTAAATAAATATATTGGTCTTTGTAACGACTTGGTGTTTTTATTTCACGTCCAGATCTCGACTTCACATATTAATGTTCTGATGAAGGGCGCGTAGTGGTTTGTCTTCTTCCGTTGTACTGTTGGTTGGTGGAATTATTGGATTCGATTCTAGACCGTTGTGATTTCCATGCAACGGTTGGGCAAAGGTTGGAGTTGGTTGGGGTAGTGCAAATCTTACTGTTTTAACTGGTTTTGGAAAGGTGTTATAACTTAACAGTGTTGGCTGTGGTTGTGTTGATGCTCGTTGATGCACTTCCCGTAACTGAGA